CCCCCCCGGCTCCAGCCTCCTGTCAGGCAGTTGCAGAGAGCGATGAGGGCTCCCCTCAGCCTCCTCTTCCCCAGGCTGAGCACCCCCACCTCCCCCAGCCGCTCCTCCCCAGCCTTGGGCTCCAGCCCCTGCCCCAGCCTCGCTGCCCTGCTCTGGCCACGCTCATCCCGCCGAGGGCGCGGGGCTGCTCGGGGGCTGCAGCACATCTCCAGCCCATGATGTCCCCAGGGACGGGTCTGCGCTTGCTGGTGAGCCCTGCGGCTCGGCCGTTCCCCTCGCGTTTGCCCGGAGCCCGCCCTGGGCTGGCGGAGGGCGTTGTTTTGCGGGCAGTGGGAAATGCGGGTTTGTCCCCCAGACGTCGGTCTCTGCAGGGGCTGAGGGCTGCGAGACGGAGGCTGAGCTGGTAACGAATGGCTTCACGTGAATGCCCGCGGGGCTATTTCCACCTCCCTGCCTGAAATAATTGTTCTGCTGGCTTGGGTCAAGGGCCTTGGGGAGCGGGCAGGTCCGAGCTGAGCCCTGAGACTGCTCCCTGCTCCAGATGGCCTCTTTCCCCCAAAAAGACAGCTGGTTTCCTGGCCTCCTGTAATGGTGCTTGGCAAGTTTTTCATGGGCAGCACAAAATACGAAGCCCCGGGGGTGACGGGGGGTGGTGGTGGGGTGAGGAGCCTCTGATGGGTCTGGCTGCCGGCCTCAGGCTATGGAAGAAAGGCGGGGGGATAAGGCAGGCTGAAAGCAGCTCTGTAAAAGGGTCTGCATCTTCCCAGGAAAATCAATTTATAGGCTTAAAACACTTCAGATGCCACGGCCCTGTGCAGAAAGGCGCAGTGGAGGGGGGAGTACCGAAGAAGTTAATGGAGATGTCTGTGTGCAGAGCAAGGGCTGATTCGGTCCCCAGCTGGGCTGGGGGTGTGCGCCTGGGCCCCCCCCCCCCCCCCAGTTCATCGCCAGCTTTTGTGGTTTGCAGAGTCGGGCCCCGCTCCATGAAATCGCTGGAGGTTTCACTTGCCCAGTTCCTGTTCAGCTTTCTCCTTAGTTCCCCTGAGGGCCGAGGCCGGTCACAGAATGTGCCGGCACCGTGGTCCCCGGGCGGGGGCTTGCTGCCCCGCGTCCCCCCAGGCCCCCAGCGCCTGCCATAGGCTGAGAGCCGAGAAATTTATGGAAGGGATTTATGTGCTTTTTGCTTCCTCCCCGCTCCTTTTTTTTCTCCCTTCTTTTTTTTTCCAGCACCTCGGATGGTTTCTAAATGCAGCATCACCTAAAAAGCAGCAGATAGATCAGTTATTTGTCTTCAAAAGAGCCTCCGGGGACGCGGGGGCTTGGGCCAGGCTGGTGGGCGCCCTTGGGCAGGGGCCCTGTGCGCCCCTGGGTGCCCCGGGGCTTTCCCGGCTGGTGGCCTGAGCCTGGGGACGGGACCGGGCTCCGAGCGCCGAAGCCCTTCCCTCGCACTGTGGCTGTGATTTCCCACCTGGGAAGCCAGAGCATCGTCCCACCAGCTTCTGCTCCGTCTGCCCGGAGCCCCTGCCCCGCTCCTTGGAAATGCTTTTAGGTTATTCCTTACCGGGGCTCTCCCAGTGTGCAGCCGGGGGCTGGCCGTGCCGTGCCCTCCGTGCCGGCGGGATGGCTCTGGGACCGATCCGGGAGAGGGGATGGGGTCGCTGAAGGGGCCCGGGCTCATCCCAGCCTCACCACTTTCCAGCCCTTGGGCCGCGCGTGGGGAGCTCTGCCTGGTAACCGGTGATGCCCGGGCGGGTTGCTTTTCCTTTCGCACCCGCGGTTTCACTTTTGGCTGAACCCCGGCCACGGTCGCGCTGGGTCGGTGCTGGAGCTGGCTCGGTGCTGGACGTGGCGTGGCCGGCGAGGCCGAGCCCCACGGCGCTGCGCTGGCATCGGGGACGTGTTACCCCCGGGGCTGCCCCGGGTCCTTGTCTAAAATCACCTAAAATGAGCGTTACGGGGGTGGCTGGCTGCTCTCGCCCACGTAGCGCTAGCGGGGCCGGGGGGTGGGCTGGGGACCCCCGCCGCCACCACGCTGCCCCTTTGGGGTCACCCACCTCGAGGGGCTGCTTCTCGTCTCTTGCGTTTGGGGGTTCAGCCCCCCGAAGGTGCTGCAGGCAGGGTGAGAGGGGTGCCCCGAGAGGGAGGGGGACCTGACAGCACTTGGTGGTCCTTTAACTGTTACCCCCTCAGCCCGAGAGGCGCTGGCCGAGCACCTGCACCCGAGGGGGTCCAAAGTGACCCTCGAGGGGGGGTTTGGGCCGAAGCGTGGCTTTTCCCTGGCAGGGAAGGTGAGCGAGGGGCAGCTGCACCCTGACGGCGTCCCTCCACGGGGGGGTCCTGCTCAGACCCTGGTGTGGGGAGCATCCCACCCCTGCATCCCACCCCTGCATCCCACCTCGCCTCCCACCTCCACACCCCACTCCTCACACCCTGCA